CCTGTCACCGCGCCGCGGCCGGGCCTCGCCTGGGGCCGCGAGTGTTTGCACGCAGCTGTTAGCCCTGGACGTTTTCGGAAGTTTTTTTTCTTGAGTGTTCGTCTCTTTGCAAATAGGTTGGCTGGCTCTGCCACTAAGTTAATAAAAGCGAATACGTGCTTTCTACCTGATAGAAAGCTAACTCATGGTTTCCGTGAAAAGGACGCGCGGAAGCGACTCTTTCCTATTCTAATACTGCTTTGAACAGCTAGAAAAAATATTTAAGGCCTATGTAAATCTTTTGCACAGAATACTTATAACTTTCAAAAGGTTGTATGTTTCTTTGATTTTTTTTTTTTTTAATGTCCGTATCTTATTTATTAATTACCTAAATTTCTGGGATAGTAAGTAGACGAAGGATAATCCTGCCGTAGCTAACCTAGTACCTGTGTTGGTTAAATTTAATACTAAGTTTAAGTTGCAGAACCCTTCCTTATAATTACTTAACGCTATTTCATAAATTATCAAAATTGGAAAGAGTCTCGAAATGTGACCTTTGAGTATTAAAGGGTTTTTAAAGTTTAGAGGAACGAATGAAATAGAAGATGAAAACTCTGGACTGAAAAGCTGGTCTGGTTGTATCTACTGAAAACCCGACTCCTCCGGACTATGCAAAGGGGATCAGAGCTGCTGCCAAATTCTCAATAGCAAGTGCTAACAGGCGCTGCTCTGCTTTTCAGAGGGCCTTTGAGTTTAGCAGGAGCTCTATGTTAAAATGAAACCTGCCTACTTTGGGACTTACTGATTATCAAAAGATGCCTTCTGTATGTTTTGGTAGCCCAGAGTGATTGCCCACTGATTATATTAGAACTGAAAGCCATGTTTTTGCACTAATAGGAATGGAATAAGGGAGGGGAGAGGAGGTGTTGGTTGAGTTTGCTGAATGCAGGATTCCATTTGAAATTCAATAGAGATGCGTATGTTAACCACATAAAATTAAATTTATTTTTTCTTATTGTATGGTCATGTTGGTTTTATGGTTACTTAGAAAACCAGGGAATTTTACACTTTCTGCATTTGATCTTGCCAGATTAACCCATTTTCAATACCTTGCAAGTTTGGTAATAAGGCTTTATTTGATAGAGTGGTACGCACCAAGTCAGTCAGGGACAAATGTCTCAGGGCTTGACTAATGGGAGTTAATTTACACTTAAGTCAGTGTTTAAAAGTCCTTACTTCCCCTGTGCAAGTGGCACTGCTTACCTGGTTGCACAGTTTGGGGAAATTACCCCTCCCCCCCCCTTTTTTTTAAAGAATTCGTTGTCTGGTAAGTTGCAGAGTGCTCTGTGCATAAAGGTGGCTGTAAATATTTGATGGCAAGAACATAATATGTCCTATTTCCTGAGACATGTTTTGTGGGAAACTATCCCCCTTCCTTTCCCTGCTGTTTGGAATTATTACCAACGAGAAGTTAAGTCGTTTGTCATTAACTATGCATGTCCCAAGTTAAAATTCTCAGTACACAGTAGTTTCATCTTCAGACTTGAACTAAGGAGATAATCGATAAGAGGTGAAGAAATCAAAGCAGGTTAATTGTTAAGCTGTGTGCGTGTGTGTGTGTGTAGGCAATGTACTCACTGGTTTTGCCTACTTATTCTCATTTGATTCTAGGTGTGAGAGTTTCAGCTATACTGTAGTTTCACTAAAACATTCTTCTAGGTTGGAGTGAGCTCTATGAGGTGACAGCTTTGCCTAAGCCCAAGCTTAGTTACCTGAAGTCCGTAATAAAAGTAATTGTATATATAGGGTCATATTCTCACAGCTCTAGTTACTTATTAGTGCCTCTTGGTTTAAAAAAAGGCTGAGTGGGGAGCCCAGTATGTTTGTGGAAACCAAATATTTGGATTTTATGGGTTTCTTTTGCTTGTGTACCATCTTACTTTCCTATAGAGTAACAGCGATAATGTATGGTTGGTATCTTTTGAATGGAACAGCAGCAAGGGAATGTAGCTTATAGGGTAGTTTTAGATCTAAAAGGTCTAAAGTCCTTAGAGATCTGCTTTTTCCTTTTTGAATTGATATAATTCACATGTGCACAGTAGTTTCTAATATATTGACCAGGTTGTGTAACCATGACCACTATCTAATTCCAGAACATATTCATCGTTCCAAAGAGGAACATCTTACCTGTTGTCAGTCACTCTCCATTTCCTTCTCCCCCCAGCCCCTGGCAACCACTGATCAATCTACTTACTTGTTTCTCTAGATCTGCCTGTTGTGGACATTTCATTTAAGTGGAATTGTATAGTATATGGCCTTTTGTGTTTGGCTTAGTCTGTTTTAAAGGTTCACCCATGTTACAGGATGCGCTTCCTTCCTTTTTATAAAAGGCTGAATAGTGCTCCATTGTATGGATAACACAGGACTTTGTTATTTTTCATGTGAGAAGGTTAAGGCCCAGGTAAGGCTGAACACATTTCAGTATTTTTTTTTTTTTTAATCTATCTTTACTGATTTCAGAGAGAGGAAGGGAGAGAGAGAGAGAGAAACATCAATGATGAGAATCACTGATCAGCTGCCTCCTGCACGCCCCTGACTGGGGATCAGTCCGCAACCTGGGCATGTGCCCTGACCCGGAATCGATCCGCAATTCCTGGATCCTAGGTCGATGTTCAACTGCTGAGCCCTGCCTGGCGGGGCCATTTCAGTATTTAATCACAAGTCCACTGTTTTCATTATTATTAATTCATTGCTTCACGGACCTGTTTGGTTTTTTCCTGGCATATCATTAATGACTTTCAATATTGCCAGATTTGGGGCACAGTATTCATCACTGCTGTACTGCTGTATAGGAGCGACGTTCCATTTACAGAGCTTATTATAAACTAAACCACTTAACTAAAGCCTTGGGTGGAGTAGGGAGGCTAATGATAAAAAGCTGAGTATTTAAAACATTTAGTTGTGAGAGAAACCTAAGAAGGCTTTAAAGTTTTGATGTTTCAGGTAGTTAGAAACTGTGGCCTTCGCTCAACGCTGTTGATATTTTAATTATCTTCTGTTAGACCAAATGCAGAAGTGCTTTGTGCTGGATCGAGCAAAACATCTAAGACCGGAAAACCTTCACTACTAGAATCAGTAAATTGAAAGAAAGTCAAAAAGTATTAAATTTTTTCTCTGTGTTATATATTCAGAAAATTCAAGTATGCCAAAAATCACTAGTTGTGACCATTTGCCATTCCTCTGTGGATTTCCATTTTCTCTTTTTTCACCCTGCTATTTATTACTAAGTAGGAATGCCATAAACATAAATTCCCATGGAGCCAAGCTAAAGAAGCCTCTCCAAACTAATGACGTCAACCCCTACGTGGGACAGCCTAAATCATAGATCCGGATTCCTGACCTGGTAGCTCTCGGAGCCTGGCTTACTGAAAAATCCTCTGCTGTCAAACTCTCCAGTCCAGGTTATTAACCTTTTCTTTTCCCTCCCACTATCAACAGCTGACTTTCCTTAGTGGGGGAAAAACACTATCAGGAAAAGTCACAGCTCCTGACCTACCTCCTAGCATTTCAGGCTTTTAGAAGAGAATAAAATAATTTTTTGAAAGTATGCCAGACTCCTGGGCGATATTTACAAAAGGCCTTTCTATTTGTTTTGTTTTTGAAGCCTGCATAGTAAGGTTGGTTGGTTTTAAGGCTAGGAAATTTAGGGCCCATAACAGGTTATTAGCAGGGGAAAAAATTATTAGAATGAATAGTTCTTTTTTTTTTTTTTTTTTTTACACTTCAGAGAGAGGAAGGGAGAGAGAGAAACATCAGTGATATGAGAGAATCATCTATCGGCTGCCTCCTGCACGCCCCATACTGGGGATTGAGCCCAAAACTTGGGCATG